CTCTATATAAAAAAAATCCAAAAAAAAAAAAAAAAACCTTTTTGTGTGTTTCTGTTTGAAGACACTATTTGGGACCAGCAGATGGCATAATGGTTACGTTGCTAGACTTCCATGTAATCAACCACAGTTCGAGTCCCAGACCCGGTGGCTCAAAACTCAGCCAGGTGCATGTGCCTGCCTGCCCACAATCCCAAGAGGAGAATGGAGGAGAAGGGATTGCAGTGTGGCCATCCCCCATTTCTTGCTTTCTGTCTGTCCCTCTCTTTCTCTGGCAAGTGCACATGCCCTATACCAAAAATCTCTCTGGAAAACAAAACAAAACACAAACACTAACACTGAACTCATGGCCGGCGGCTGTAACTAGTGCCTGAAAGAAGCGAATCTGGCATATGTGCGTTCTCCATGAGGGACAGCTCTGCAGCTCCACTCTTGGGGACTTTTTCATTTGTTTGCTGTAAGATGCATGCACTTGCCAGAGAGACACAGAGGGAGAGACAGAGGAAAGTGAGAAATCACCCTTGCGGGGGGATGGCCACGCTGCAGTCCCTTCTCCTCCATTCTCCCCTCGGGATTTTGGGCACGCACACACGCACCATAATTTTCAAACTGCCAGGTCCAGGACTCAAACCGTGGTTAGCCATGTGGGAACTCAGTGCCTTAACCACCATGCCACCTGCTGGTCCATGATCTATTTTTGGTTTATTTATTTATTTCCTCCATAAAAGAAAAAAGAGACAGAGAGATAATCATCCCCAACAGGGTCCTCATGCCACAACCCACCCCAGGCTCAGCCAGCCCAGATTGCGGGCTCAGGCAGGGCCCAGGAGATGAACCCAGGGCCTTCCCTGGGGCCTCTGTGGCCAGAGACAGTTATCCAGCCTGGACCACAGGTGTTTGTGGGAGAGTCACTGAGGGACCAGGCTAGGCTTCTGGGTGATTCTACCTGCTTGGTCAGGGGTCTTGTGACCCCACTGTTGGGCTCAAGATGTGGTCATGACCCAGATGGGAGCCCCAGGGACTCCCTGGAGCCAGCCCTGGAAGCTGCCTGCACCCTGGCTCTGTCTCTCCGGCCTCACCGTGTGACCCTGGGCAGCTGCCCCTCCCGTGCTGAGCCTCAGGGAGTGAGGCCGGAAGCAGAGCACTGAGTAGATGTCAGAGGGCCCCTGCAGTCCAGATGTGCCAAGACTCCGGGGTCTGGTCGCTGACAGTCTGCGGCTCTAAAATCTGCATCGCTCAATGGGCCAGGCGGCGGTGCAGAGGGTAAGGTGGCGGGTCCCGCATGACTGACTTTGCAGGTCACGTCCTGGACCCAGCAGCCTAAAAAACGTGCCGGACACACATGCATGTGTGCCCGAAACCCCGAGAGGAGAGTGGAAGAGAGGATTGTGGCCATCCCCCCTTGGGGGTGATTTCTCACTTTTCCTCTATTTCTCTCTCTGTCTCCCTGTCTCTCTCCAGCGAGTGCACACATCCTATAGCAAGTGTAAAAATAATCTGCGATGCCCAGACCTGAAGATAAAGGCAGGGGTGCTGGGCGAGCTAAGCCCGAGAGTCTGGTCAGTCCCTGGGTTGAATCCCAGCCGTGTCCACAGCCTGAGTCAGCTAGTTTTACATGCCCTGCCCTGGGGGATGGAGGGGCCAGGGAACCACCCTCAGGCCAGCGATGGCTCTGGGCAGACCCTCCTCCCAGGGAGCTGTGGTGCCCACGGGTGGGATCCTTATGAGTCTCGGGTGGGAGATACCACATGGCCCCTCAGTCCCCTCTCCTCCTTTCCCCCAGCTACCTCTACCCAGACGGGAAGAGCCACAACCCAGACCTGACCGAGCTCTGCCAGATCGAACCCCACCAGCGCATCCATGTGTCGAAGGTGAGACCCAGGCCTGTGCTTCCTGCTCCCGCCCCGCCAGCCCCACTCCGCCATGGCTCAGAAGACTGGGGTCAGAGTGCTGGCTTGGTGGCTGCATGAGTTGGGGTGAATCAGTCAGCCTTTCTGCAATATATCGTCTGGAAAATATGGCCCCTCCCGCCTCCTTCCCGGCGGTTATCATGGGGGTGAAACAAGGAGATGATGTAGCTGAGATCATCTGACGGTTAGTGCATTTGAGCGTTTGCTAGGGATAGCGCCTGTGCGGGCTCTCAGTGGTCACAGCGCCCCCTAGGTAAGAGAGAAACAACTAATTTTTTAGCATAAGTATACCCCAAAAGGAGTATACTTACACTTATGTCCTGGCATGGGACATACTTATACTTCCAAGGGTTTGGTTGTTTTGTTTTGTTTTTTCAGTTTATTTATTTCTATTTATGAGAGAGAGCATGTGCCCCTGCACGAAGGACAGAGCATGCATGTGTATGGAAGAGAAAGGCTTCAACAGGGTCTCGTCAGGCCACGGTCCCCTCTGCAACCTCAGGGCCACCCGGGTCCAGGGCACCCACATACGCACCCGAGTGTGTTCAGGCTGACCCAGCGAGCCAAAGCCAGGTTCAGATTGCTGCTGATGGCACCACCGGCCTTCCGTCCTGCCCGTTTATCTGACATCCGAGTTTCACACGCGTCCTGTAGTTCGTGTGTTAACTCATAACCCCGAGTCCAGACCGCCCCAGGAGACACGTCTCATCACGAGGAATGAAGGCGTGTTGGAGACCGTGGGGCGCACAGGCCTTGGACGTGGGAGCGGGCCCGGGGCTGGCCCAGAGGTTTGGGGCTGTCTTTCCGTGGCCCCAGGTGTGTCCCCGTGGCCCACAGCCCCCTCCCGCCCGCCAGGAGCAGCTGCAGCTGTACTGGGCCATGGACTCCACATTCGAGCTCTGCAAGATCTGCGCCGAGAGCGACAAGGACGTGAAGATCGAGCCGTGCGGGCACCTGCTGTGTAGCCGCTGCCTGGCCACCTGGCAGGTGGGACTCACCGGCCCCGCTGCCTCGCCCAGCCCACCCCTCTGCAGTAAAAGCCCTGAGAGGGTCTCCCCAAAGTCTCACCAGTCAGATGGGGAAACCGAGGCCCGGGCACGCGGAGGGCCAGCTTTCTGCCTGCGCCTTTGTTTGCCTGTCACTCACATGTGTTCTCCCGCTTCTCCTTCTCCAGCTGCTTTACCGGAAGGGCTGGGCGACCCCGAGTCAGTGGCTTTGCCTCTCTGAGCTTTAGCCTCCCTCCTCTGGAGAGTGGCATTGAGGATGGTCACAAAGCCCTTGGCAAAGCCCTGGCCCAGGAGCTGATGGCTGGGGCTCCCCATCCGTGGGGGCCCCTCCTAGCCCCGGCCCCTCTCACACACCCCCAGCACCTCTCTCCCCATCTCCCTCTGGGAATGACTTCTGCTGTCCCCCTTCATTCCCTGCCCTGGTCTGTGGGCATCACTGGGCTGAGGGCCTCACAGCCCCAAGGGACCTGATGGAGAACGGGGAGACTGACCCCGTCCCTCCGACGTCCCCAGCAATCGGACAGCCAGACCTGCCCCTTCTGCCGCTGCGAGATCAAGGGCCGAGAGGCTGTGAGTATCTATCAGCTCCAAGGGAAGTCAGCAGGGGCCCTGGCCACTGCCCAGGACTTAGGGGACAGCAGCAGCCAGGACGAGGAGGAGCTGGAGCCAGGGCAGGTAAGCAGGGAGCGGCAGGGTCTGCCTGGGTCAGAGGGGGGAGGCTAGTGAGTTTCCTGGGCCCTGGAGTCCTGGCCTTTTGCTTCCCGAGGGCCTGGGGTGGCGGCTCTCTCAGGGTGTCACCTTCCTGAGTGTGGGACTCCAGCTCATACTCTGTTATATCTCGAGTCCAGAATGGCACCGGGACGCTGGGACGCCAGGCAGAGGCCTGAGGCGAGGACAGAATGGTGCTCACACCCCTCCATCCGCTCTCCTCCAGGTGGTCCCCTCGGCTCCTCCGCTGCCCCCTCGGCTGGACCTGTCCCCCCAGACACCCAGAAGGGCTGGCCCGCTGACAGTGGTGAGTCGAGTGTGTGTCTGAGCTTGGCCTGGGTCTCGCTCAGCCGCGGGCCCCTGGTCTGGCCCGACACTCAGGGTGCCAGGTCAGGTACTCAACCCGACCCCCACCCCGTCGGGTGCTGTGCGGCCAGCTTCCTCCCCCAAAACCCTTATTTGTTGTCTTCCTCACTCCTGGCCGTTCTTGCCCTCCTCCCAGCATCCCAAGGTCTGTCCTACCTCAGGGCCTTTGCACCAACCATTGCCTTTGCCTGAATCGTCTTTCCTTTAAAAAATGTTGGACCAGGACCAGCAGTTAGCGTAATGGTTATATCGCTGGACTCCCATGTAGTCAACCACAGTTCAAGTCCCGACCCAGTGGCTTAAACTCATGCCAGGCACGTGTGCGTGCGTGCCCAAGATCCCAAGAGGAGGATGGAGGAGAAGGGATTGCGGTGTGGCCATCCCCCCTGGGGAGTGATTTCTCGCTTTCTGTCTCTTTGTCTCTCTCTGTCTGTCTGGCAAGCGCACGTGCCCTAAAGCAAAAGAAAACAAAACTCTCAAAAAAATATATATATATTGGACCAGTCAGTGGCCTGGTGGTTGAGGTGGCTGGATCCCACATGACCTATTGCATGGTTCAAGATCCAGACCTTGTGGATTTAAAAACACACTGGGTGGGCCAGCAGGTGGCGTGGAAGTTAAGGCACTAGATCCCACATGGCCAATTCCATGATTTGAGTCCCAGACTGAGCAACTTGGAAATCACACCGGGTACATGTGTGTGTGTACATGCCCAAAATCGAGACAGGAGAGACCAGCAGATGGCATGATGGTTACATCACTGGGCTCCCACATAGTCAAACGCAGTTTGAGTTCCATACCCAGCAGCTTAAAACTCACACCAGGGGCCAGCAGGTGGCACAGTGGTTAAGGCAT